AATTAGGGCGTTCAAGAGCATGGGTAGGCATATAAAATTCAATGCCTTCAATTTATATTTAATTTACCCGCTTTGTTTAAATTACATTATTTCTTCATAAACAAAAAGGGTGCAAATAACCTCATCAAAGGATATAACAAGGCTAATTGCTGGCGAAAATATTCCCGATATTGTGAAATTTCGCAATAGGTAAGCAAATTTGAATTATTATAATATTCAATATTCAATAGTTAATATATATATATATATATATATATATATATATATATATATTGGTGGATGATTAAGAAAATTTTATTTTATATATTATATAGGGTTGCGTCTGGGCCACTTAGAAGGGCCAGATTGATTTCAAAGAGCTTTGTTGTTGTGAAATCTGAACTTCAAGAATTAGCTGATGGGGATATTGTTGTTAGTTCTGTTGACTCACTATATGAGACTGCTGAGGTATTTGAAAATACAGTATTTTTATATACAATTAAATATGTGTTATTCTATTTGATGAAAACATTACCTAATTAGTACAATTGAACATGCAGGAAACCGATGTCTGTATTTGCGCTACAGTAGTCTCAATTATAGATGAGTGGTGGTACAACTCATGCAAAAGATGCAAAAGCAAAATGGAGGAAGTTAATGGGCAATTTAATTGCAGCAAATGTTCTCATAAATTTGGGATTTTCCGGTATTATAAATTACTAATATAATTCAAACAATGTTCACAATTTTATTAAGTAAATAATTACGGATTATTTTCCTAACTTAAATTTCATTCTATAGCTACAAGATTCACTTTGGTGTCCAAGATACTGCGGCACCAGACACTTTAATTGCATGGAACAATGAATGTGAACCTATAATTGGAAAGCCATGTGATGCATTGAGGCGTGAAATCATGCAAAAGGTATTCACTTAATTTTAATTATAGTATTTTAGATTGATTATGGGTACCAACAACTACATGATACTATTGTTGTCTCTATTGGGAAGAATTCAAATAGCATTGAACTGCCCGAGGAAATAGACAATATGATTCACAAATCATATCTCTTCAAGGTGCACATTAGAGCAAACAGGCGTAAATTCGGGGATGGTGAAGCAGCCTTTTCTGTTGTAAGGATGATTGGTGATAAAAATTTGGTATCGATAACTGGCAAAGAAGTAAGTTTAACAAACTAAAAATTTAATCCTGCTGCTAATTACTATTATGTAATATGAATTTACACTTACTTTTTCTACAATTTTATAAGAATCGGATTTCTTGACTCTTCTTCAACGTGAAGAGGCAAAGGGCAAGGTAAAACAGAGTTTATGGAATTTATTTCTTATCTTCAATACATCATATATTTAATTTCAATAATTATATTTGGACCTTATAAATTAACTGATAGGACTGCAATGAAGAAGAAGAAGTGTCAACCCCTGTGAAGACTCGCAAAGGTAAAGAGAAGGTCGGTGACAGTTCTAATGCAAAGAGAAATCTAATGGAGATAATTGAAGATGAGGCAGGATTTGTTGCCCAGTCAGCCATTGCCATCAAGGGCAAAGAAAAAGTGACCGAGCAAGATGATGAAATGAAGGACAACTTTGATGAAGAATAGTTTGATGGTTAATGAATTTTATTATTATATTAGGATTTCATTTGCTTTGAATATTTTTGTTTAATAAGTTGGCATCGCCAACAAGAGTAATTTAGGATTTATTATTTGAAATTGTTCTTAGGGTTTATTATTGTACGGTTTAAGGCTTTATTATGGATTATGAATATTCAAATTGTTTTATTTCAAATTCTGATATTAATGGTTATTAATATAATTGATCATACAGTGTTTTTCAAGTTAAAGTATTTAATTTAATGCTGAGTACATACCAGTACTAAAACATATAAATGAAAAAAATAAAGTACAAAAATAATTTACAACCACTCACCACTTTAGATTAGCAAATCTAAATAAAACAGAATCTTACCAAGTAGATCAGAAATATATAACAGATTCTTACCTTCATGATTCAGTAATAAAAATAGAATTTAATAACGGAAGGATATAAAGCAACAAACCGATTCTTACCTTCATGACTGATATAATCTATCTATATATTAAAAGAATAATCTTTTAAAGATTCTCGCCAATTTTTCCCGCCAATATATGTATATATAATCATCCCCCAATTTCATTAACAGTGTTTTAAAAATTAGCAATTGTATTTCCGTTTTTTTGGTAGATAGGGTAGTCAACGGCTGATTTATTTTGGTAGATAGGGTAGTCAACAACTGATTTATTGGGAAGATAGGGTAACAAATCGGCTGATTTATTGGGTAGAATTCGCTATTCTCTTTCCTGTTTTTTGGTATCAAAATAAATATTTGTAATTATTTCTGCTATCAAAATTAAGAATTTTCAAATTGTGTGTAATCAAATATTTTTAGATGGGACACCATAAATTCGGTATGATTTTATTAAATTAGACTTATAATATTTTAGATACATAAAACAATTTTTTTAGACATTTTTTACATATTCGTCTATATATATACATATACACATACAAATAATTGATGTTACATTTAAATATATGTAGACATGTTTTATTTACAGAATAGCCTGGAATTTTTTTTTTATACAATGTTAAATTCAAATGTTTTTAGGTATTTTTTTCTTCTAAAATTATTTAGAAAAGTTGTAGGTGATTTCATATCTTTCAAAAATAATATAAAAGAATTTGAATACTATTACATATACTAAAATAACATTTTAGGTGTTCTTAATATTAAACATACAAATTTTATATTCTCTTACAAAATAATGTAAATTTTATATTCTATTATACAAAATAATTTTACATTGTTTGACCCCGAATCTTTAATTAAAATTATTAATAAGTATTGTTTATTCTCCTCTTTGATTTATAATTATTAAGTATTGTTTATTCTCTTCTTTAATTTATAATTATTATTTTTTATTCCTCTTTTTAAATAAGATCAATAGTAATTTCCACTTCCACCATTGAGTGACTCAAACTCGAGATTTATTTATAATATTGTTAATTTAATATTGTTCTCGTGCATCGCACGGGGTGTACACTAGTATATAGAATCATTGGAAGATAATAAAGCATCAATTCTATTGAAGACTATATTATGAAGCATACTAAAGTTATTATTTTTCATATAAAACACCGCATCCAATTATTGCATCAAATAACATAATCTTAGCAAGTAGATCGGAAATATAAAACAAATTCTTACCTTCATGATTCAGAAATAAAAATAGAATTTAATAATGGAAAGATATAAAACAACAATTCATAAATCAAAACAGATTCTTACCTTCATGATTATGATATAATATATAAAATCATTGGAAGATAATAAAACGTCAATTCTATTGAAGACTTTTTTATAAAGCATACTAAAGTAATTATTTTTCATATAAACACTGCATCCAATTATTGCACCAAATATAAATAACTAGCATGACCATTTGTATGTTCATATAGCGTAAACATAAACATTTATATCATTCAAACAATTAAGTTGGCAAAATAAATAGAGTTAGGCATTTTAACAAGATAAGGTACAGGAAATGAAAACTAACAGATAGAAATACTAACACGTGATAACAAGAGCCATATCATTTAACCAGATAAGTAACATGAAATCCTAATTTATCTAAAACACCTAAAATATAGATATCTAATATATTTATTCCAACATCACCTACACTCCTACACAACAAACTTTCGCAGGTCATAATTTTTTTGAAAAGAATTCCCCTTCAGATTGGTTTTTTTTCCTTCATTTCATATATAGATATATCTAATCTATGCATGAATTTCTGTTATGCAGACTGGTAAAGAATTGACGTCTTAGTAAAACAGTGGAAACACGATTGGTGAAAGAAGCAATATAAGCATTCAAGTTATGATGAACAAATATGTTGAGTGCAGCAAAGAAGCAGAAGCTGTTCACAAAACCATTGCAAAACATAGAATGTATGAGAACAAAAAAGGTACACATCAAAATTTACCTTCTTACCTACATGATTGTAGCAGAACTGTGAGCTTTTAAGGTTTATGTTATCTGTTGTCATCATGCTCAGAGATGGAAATCGTACAAAAAAAAAGTAATTGAAGTTAGAGATATGAGTATAGAGTTACATGACTATATTTGTCAAGTATTGCTGTAAAAGAGTACCTTTTTTGTGAAATCAGCTTGAATCTGTTTGACATGTTTCTCCTTTCATATGTAATGCTCCAAATCAATTCAACAAAACAAAAAATAAAGAAAAAATTGCAATTATATTTTGGATAGAATATGAAATTGTTAATAAAATTAGATGAAATATATCAAATAAAAGTACAAACTTACCTTTTTAATTTATAGCAATTCAATCCTCCGATTAGCACCTTTGACATCCCAGTTTGCAACCCAATATAAGCTCCAACATACATTAAGAAAGTATTAGTTAGATAACAATGGCATTAACATAAAACTGAAGATTATCCTTCTAGAGTAGGAACATTTGATACTTTCTTACTTACATTTGTAATATACAGCAATTCAATACTCCTGTTAAGCACATTTGACATCCCAGCTTGCAAACCATTTTGTTCCAGCATACGTTAAGAAAATATTAGTTAGATAAAAAACTTTAGTTTACAGTAGGAACATTTACATAATGTATGCAAAAATAGACAATCAGTGATAACTCTAACAAGGTTGAAAAACGGGGTAACCATATTGCAAATAATACTATAGTTTAAAACTATTATCTTAGACATCCATGTTTGCTATCCAATATTTCTGCTTTGACATTTTTATACAATAACAATGTCATGATCATAAAACTTTAGTTAATCTTTATACAATAGGTACATGTACAACCAAAAAGGGATGTAAAGAACATGTATAACATAATCCAAGCTCATTAGTATAGTAAGTATAGTTAATATAAAAACAAAGAATATGTAGAACAACCAAAACCATGTAAAGATTATTGTTCAGATTAATGTATGTACAGATTAATGTTCATTCAGAAGTATAATCAACTAACAAAATGTATATGAGGCCCGAGATTGTTTACAAACTTCAATATATTTTGACCTTTCAACTGAACATACACAACAATAACAATAATACTTAATCTTTGTTGCAATTAAGCTATTCTCAATGACTATCACATGTATCTACAGCATAATGAAACTTTAAGCATCTTAGCACTTAAAACAAGTTACACAGGATGATGAACTATAACTAAATGTGAGGAAGTAATAATTACCTTAATATGTTATGGTGAGCTCCAGTGTGTTAGAACAGCTTCCATTTCAAAATTGTTCAATAAATTGAAAAAAATGAAAAAAAAAAAGAACAAAAATCATTCAAATGACGGTAAAATTTTGTAAAGCAATTTGTTATTGTGTAAACCAATGACATCCTTTCTGGCATTCATATTCGATCTAATTTTTATAGATCTCGAGTTGCATCCAAAAATTACACCAGATCCATCATAATCACAACAAAAAGTAACATAAAATTGTCGAAAAATAAAATACTTCCTTTTTGATTTTTTATTTTTCGATCAAGATTTAAAGAATCTCGCATTGATTCTCAAAATTACACCAGATCCAACAATAATACACCAAAATCAACATAATGGAAACCAAAATCAAGATGAATTTTTTCAGATTTTCACATTTTCTTCAAAATCGAGCTCAGATCTTAAAATAAATAATAATAACGAATGAATTCATTTTAGGTCTCATTTTTTTTACTTCAAATCGAAATAAATCTAGCAGATTCGTATATAAAACAAAGTTAATTTTCTCGATTTTTCATGATTTCTTCAAAATTGAGCTAAGAAGATACTAAAATAAATAATAATAACGAAGTACGTCCTTTCCGGTTTCATTTTTTTCGACATGAAATCGAAAATATCCACCAGATCCGTAAAAAAAGCATAATGAATTCTCTCAGAATTTCAATTTTTCTTCAAAATCGAGCTCAGATCTTAAAAAAAAAGTTCAAACAAAACCAAAAACAAGTAATTTAAAAAAAAACCGATGTATGTGTAACAAACAAACCCTGATTTAGCAGTTTCAACCATCTTTTTAAACATACATATACGAATTACAACATGTGTAATTGAAATGTTTAGAAGATCTGTTGAATTTCTGCAGAACAAAATAATAATGAAAAATGGTAGATGAACCGACAGAAATGAGGAGAGAAAGAGGAGAGAAACGCGTGTCGGTAAAAGAAAAAATGATAATGGAAACCCTACGTTATCGGAAATGTTAGCTATTTATAGTTGTAAACTTCGTTTTATGTCTGTTAGATCGATTCAACAAATGTTGGTCGTTCGATCTTTGTTTATGTTGGATAGCAATAAATTACGTTTATTGGGCCAAATTCGGTACCCGAGTTAATGGAATCAGATATTTCAAACAATACTTTAAATACTCTACATCCAATTTAGGCCAAATTCTATTGGTAACAATTGTTAATTTATCCACTTTGTGACAACCAATGTTTTTTTTTTTTTGGGCAAAGAAAAATTATATTAATGAGCTTAGTATATATGTTTGGGAAAATAATACAATG